GATGTGGGGGGGGGCGCCTGAAAATTAGCATCTGTTGTGGGGGGAGTGCCTGGGTGGCTCAGTCGGTAGAGCATCAGACTCGATCTTGGGGTTGTGAGGTCAAGCCCTCTGTTGGGTGTGGAACCTACATATATACGTATATGGGGCACGGGGGGTAGCCGTCTTAAGAGGTCCATGTGCTGTGTTTTCTTTCTAGATGCAGGATGCAGGGAGCCTGATTTCTGGTGAATCGCTGAGTGTTGTTATTTCCTACCCTGATTCTAGCGCGTCCGTCACAGGGCTGGGTTTGGGTTATCCGTGATCTGGGGCGGGCGGGTAGGGAAGGAGGCTGCGCAGAAAGTACCTTTTACGCACTTACTCTGCGAAGAACAGACTGCCGGTCCAGGTCCACGATGCCATAAAGGGCCTTAGTTTATTTGCTCCACCTTCGACTTGCTGCTAAGCTGCCGATTTTATATTCACACGGTGGTAGCTGTAAATAGGACCTTGTATCACGGTCGCCATTCAAAGCCTGACGTACGTGTGGTGCTGCCTTGCCCTTGACCGGCTGTGGCCAGTGCTCGGCCTCGGCGACATGACTGCCATCCTGTTGCATTTCTCTCCAGCCCCCAGGCCGTGTCCCCGTGTGCACTTCTAGCCACGTAGTTCTGGAAGCAGCGTAAGGTAAAAACTATTCAAGGTGCAGATTTTAATGGAATTCAGTGCCTTTGAATAAGTTTTGCGGGGTGGGGTCAGTTTTGATGAGAAAGAGCCAGGGAACCATTTGTTTTTCTGATTATGGGTTTATTTTCTGTTTGTTAAATTAGATCGCTTTGTTTTTTGCAACAGTAGTATTACTGATCTCCAAGAGAAATTCTGTAGTTTTAATTTGAATCTTTCCTGTCGGCTGCCAAACTTGGATTCACAATGATTTAAAACTGAAAATATGAAAAGAAAAACAGAACAAACCTGTCTTAGCTTTAGGAGTGTAATTTTTCTAAGTGTAATGAATTGTTGTACAAATAAAACCATCATTTGCAAGAGGTCAGTGAACATCTATGGAAGTGTCTATAAATATGTAAATTATTAGGATTGATTATGACTATAAAAACGTGACCTGGAAATCAAAGGTATTTGTGAGAAATTAATCGTTCTAGCAGTAAGTGTTGCATACAGGCGAGAGTCACTAAGCCGCAGAAGTTGAATGGCTTAATATTAGTCCCTTAAGACTGTTCACAACATGTGCTGCTTGAATTCAGTGAGGAAATAAGTGAGAGCAGTGAGAAGGAGCTGCTGTCTGCAGGTGAAAGTCACACAGCACGTGGAAGATCAGGGTCCCCCTAAAGGCACGGAAAGGACACGAGATTGTGAACACGTGAATTACAATTTAAAGAGGCAGTATATTTAAAAAGTAGTACACTTTTTTGAGTGTCATTTTTGTATTTTTCTGTGTCTGTTTATAAAGTCCACAAAAGAAAATGGTTCTCAAAGCAAAAAGCGGTGGTCTTAAGTAGTTTACTTATGTCGTATCGTTAAATAGTTTTTAGCCAAGGGTCGAAGTTGAGTCTGTCGTAGCAGAAGGTTTGGAACGAACACATTTCTGTAAGACCACGATTAATCGTAATTTAAAACTTGCAACTAGCCCAACTAGAGAAGAATATTTTGTGGGGTAAATGATCATTCTGAGACCGAAAAGAATTAGTTTATTTAAAAATACAATGTGTGGAAGCCAAAGTTAGAATACAGTGATTGACACACACTTGGATTAAGAAGCGACTTTGTAGTTACTCCACTAGGAGAAGTATTAAAAGAAAAATTGGTGAGTTACGAAGATTCCTCTTTCAACTGCAAACCTGAAGTTAGGTTTTCTTTCCAAATGTTGGACTGTTGTTGGTGGGGGTGGGGATCAGGCCCAGGGTGTGTCACCGCTAGGTGGCTAAGTGTGACAGTTTTTTTTGTTTGTTTTTAAAAATTTTTTTTTCATGTTTATTTTTGAGAGAGAGAGAGAGAGAGAGAGAGAGACAGAGCATGAACAGGGGAGGAGCAGAGAGAGAGGGAGACACAGAATCCAAAGCAGGCTCCAGGCTATGAGCTGTCAGCACAGAGCCCGATGAGGGGTTGGAACCCATGAATTGCAAGATCATGACCTGAGCCGAAGTCGGACGCTTAACCGACTGAGCCACCCAGGCGCCCCTAAGTGTGACAGTTTTATAAGGAAATGCAAGCATACGTTTAAAACTCTGTTCAAGAAAGCAGAGTGATTCTTCAGCATTTATTCTGAAAACAAAAAAAAAGTAACTGATTCTTGATGGGAATTCTATTTTATATGAATTCTTGTGGGTTTTGGTTTCTTGTTTGTTCGTTTGGTTTTTATTAATTAACTCTGTTAGTACAGACAACTGGCCCGGTACAAAACATAGGAAACTTCGTGGTTAGACATGTAAATGTGGTTTTCCGGGTCTTAATAAGAAGTCAGAATTTGACAGTGCGGTGAAGCGGACACTGACAAGTCTGATTGGAGACTCTCGATATGAAAAGCAGCCGGTTCTGAAGTAATGGGACTTGTTTTAGCCCGGGCTGCTAATTCCAGCTCCTCTGCTTCCTTCCTGTACGTGTCTCGTCCTGGTCCTGGCTTGTTCTAACTCTCGCGGCATTTTCATTGAGGCGCAGCGTTTATTGTAGTTCATTAAGAGTTCTACAGGGAATTGAGGCCATGAGCTGCTACGAATATATTCCTGGTGAGATTAGCACATGGGAATATTAAATTAGGTTGACTTAGAGGGACCTGACAGGGAGTCAGATTTGCCGTCATACCAAGTCTCACCCATCAGTGTGGCAACTCTTGGTAATTTTGCAGCAGTATTTCCCAGACTTGTTTGCACGTGACAATCCTTGGCTCTCGTCCTGCAGGGTTGATTCAGTAGTAGTGGGTGGGGCTGGAGTCTGGTAGTGGTCCCCTCCCTCCCCGTGACTCTCCTGCAGCCCTCGGCCCAGCAGCGTTCAGGTGCTTGCAAAACCCACGTGTGCTTGAGAGCGAGAATTCCTGTAACTTCTAACACAGTGCGAGCCAAATATAGCAAAGAAACACACTGTAAGTAATACTGCAAAGCGAAAATAAATGACTTTCAGATGGCGTCATTTTAGCAGAGTCAGGTCACTGCATTCATGAGTGTGGCTGATGGTTGAGCATTTATTTTACTAGATGCTTGGTTTTTATGTATTAAAAAAAATTTGAATATTCATTTATTTTTGAGAGCACGCGAGAGAGAGCAGGAGCAGGGAAGGGGCAGAGAGAGAGACACACACCCACAGAATCTGAAGAGGCTCCAGGCTCCGAGCTGTTAGCACAGAGCCCGACATGGGGCTCGAACTCAGAAGCTGCGAAATTGTGACCTGAGCTGAAGTTGGACGCTTAATCGACTGAGCCACCCAGGTGCTCCTGAATGCTTGATTTTTAAATCAGGGTGTATACATTAAGAGGACTTAATATTAGCAGTTGAACCACCAACAGTAAGCTAGTAAGTTACGTTGTGTTTGGGGTTCTTTTCATTAAACTTTTTATTTTGAGATAATTATCGACTCGTCGTCAGTTTTAGGAAAGGATACGGGGCTGGTATCCCCAGTGGTAGTATCTTGTAAAGCTGCAGGGGCAGTATCACAGGACCTTCCAGCCCACAAGTTCCAGCCCACAAGGTCCCTCACGTTTGATTTCCTGCATCCCCTTCCCCTGACAATTGCTCGTCTGTCCCCCGCTTCTGTGATTTTGTCCCTTCGGAACAAAAGGAGTTGCGATTTGTCCTTGAAAATCCTATAGAAGCTGAGTATCTCAGAGGCCTTAGCTTTCTTTGAGAGTATATGGATTTACTGAGCCAACGCTGGTTCTTAGGTGTATCAGAATTTCTGGCCAGCAGTTGCATTTGTCTTTGATGGGTAAAATTACGAAATGTGAATTTATTAATTTTGATTGATGCCATTCCCCCAAATCGGGTGGTTTGGCGAGAGGGCAGGCAGAGCCGGCCGCAGACAAGGCACCACTGTGCAGGAGTCACCAGTACTTGAAGGGAGCCTTATCGAACCGTCTTCCCCACCGGAGGGGGATAGCGAGCAGGAATCTCTGTGGATGTAGATCAGAACTTTTCAAAATACGTCCGTGTAAAAAAATTTGATATATGGAGACACCTAAAATATCATTTTGTTTTTTTTTGTAAAGGTGCCTGCAGAAAGCAGAGAATCCAAATCAATTTAAGACACTCCTTTTGTCTAGAATCTATGACGACGTCCTTGTAAATTTATGTTCTGCCCCATGTTTCCCTGTGTGCCTTGGGAAGTGTCTTTCCACAGGAAGTGGACCTAAAATTCCTTCACTGCCTTCTCAGTCCGTTTTCCACCGCCCACCCCTGCTCAAGTCTCTGCCCCATTGGAGCACAGCTCGTGCAGTGTCCCAAAGACACAAGAACAGCCCTTGTCTTCAGCCGTGGGGGACCTGTGACACGGGCCACGTTCTTTACGACCCAAGTTCTCTTGGAGACTCCTGGCCCCTTCGTGCGTGGGCATTGGCTCTTGAATCCTTGTGTTTCACGCACACGTTCTGATCACGGGTCGGCCGTGTTGGAGTCTGTGCTGATTCGGCAGCCCGTGCTGTGTGTGTGCGACGTTTGCGTGGCTCCCGCGCTGGCGTGTGCGGTCGGCCCGCCGGGTGCAGTGGGAGGTGTGCTGGAGCAGGGGAAGGCTCAGAGCAGCTGGTGGGCCACAGCAAAATGGAATGTGTGGTGTTTTGGGTTTTTTTTTAAAGTTGATTTTGAGAGAGAGAATGAGCAGGGGAGGAGCAGAGAGAGAGGGAGACA